TCTCACTTAGCCTACGACTTAAAACTAACGGCTTAGGGTAGTTGTTAATATGTATATAACAAGTATATGAGTTCAACGGCTTTACAGCGACCGATCGTTAAAAAGATCAAAAAAAATTCTCAAAAATTACCTTCAGTTTAATAAAATTAACGGCCGGAAATATATTGTTTATCGTTTACAGATTGGCGCAGTGACCGTTTAGCATTGTTTCGGCGCATACATATTTAATTTAAGGTTTTAATTTCGTAAAGGAATTGCATTTTGATTCGGATTGGTGGAATAGAAATTTGTTATGTCTTCGAAGCGGTAAGTTTTTGTAAAATTTCTTAAAGTAGAAATGTATTTTTTGCACATAATTTATAAATTTATAACCTGTTTAACAAAACAATGAAGTAAGTAAGTTTTTTATGTATTTTTTTTTTAATAAAATGATGTTAAACTTCATGATCGTTATAAAGATCGGTAGTAATATGGGGATGCATTTTTACTTCAAGGCCAAGGCATAGTAAACCGTTGTCTCTAAATGAAATCATTGACGAATTGGAGAAATTAGATGATGATACCCCATTTCCAAGAAATATAACAATTTTTCCACCGGACAACGCCAATGCAGAAATTACCGATGAAGACTCTGGTGATGAGGAGATAGTAACATTGAACAATCTTCCAGGTTTGATATAAATCTTATATAAATGTATACGTTTTCCTTGTGTGCCAAGTTGTTTTACATACCTAATACCTATATTTTTATCTATGTAGGTTCTCAGCTAAGAGCTTCGGCAGAGATTGAATACATGTCCTCTGACAGTGACGACGACGACGTACCTTTGTGTTCATTGGCTAAAAGGAGTCGAACAACCGAGGAACCCATCACTGAAGAACGTCAAACTGAGCCTTCTACATCTAGTTCAGCTCCAATTATTAGCAGACCATCAGCCGTTCCTTTCGTTGATCCAACCGTACCGAACAATGAAAAATATATTTGGAGAAATCGCCACAATCCACGCGACCAATTAGAATGGCAAGAAAACCAGGGGCCAAGATACCCTCAAACACCTGTGTATTATTTTGATTGTATGTTTGGTGATGGCGTAATAGACTTATTGGTTACATATACAAATATTTACGCCACTCAAAAAAACAAAGTGGGTAATGTAACAAGCAGCGAGATGAAGTGCTTTCTGGGTATTCTCCTTTACAGTGGATACATTGTAGTTCCCAGAAGATACATGTATTGGGATAAATCATCAGACACTGATTTCAGTATTGTGTATAACGCTATGTCAAGGGATAGATTCACATTTATCATGACTCACCTCCACTGTTGTGACAACACTCAAATAGCTACCGAAAGCGACAAATTTGCAAAGATGAGACCTCTTTTCAATATGCTGAACGAAATATTTCTCAATATGGCTCCTTTAGAAGAAGTTTACAGTATTGACGAGGCTATGGTGCCTTACTACGGAGGACACAGCTGTAAACAATTTATACGGGGAAAGCCAATTAGATGGGGTTATAAGTTCTGGGTTGGCGCGACGAGATTGGGGTATGTACTATGGTTTGATCCGTACCAAGGCCATGCAGCAATTATTCCATCGGTTTATAGGCAGTTAGGTCTAGGAGCTGGTGTCGTTTTGCGTTTTGCTGATTATTTGCAATTTCGTCACCCAGATGCGCCTTTTCACCTGTTCTTTGACAACTTCTTTTCTTCTGTTCCTCTCTTTCACGAATTAACTAAAAGAGGACTCAAAGCAACTGGAACAATTCGCGAGGACCGTACAAAAAAGTGTCCTTTGCCTTCCAATAAAGAATTCAAAAAAACAGAAAGAGGCACATTCAAGTACAAGTCTAGCCAACCAGGGCATATTTTGGTTTGTAAGTGGAATGACAATAGCGTGGTGACAGTGGCATCAAATTCTGAAACCATAGAACCTTTACATAAAGCGAAACGATTTTCACAGCAGCAGAAGAAATATATACTGATTGATCAGCCAGCGATTATAAAAAGTTACAACCAAAATATGGGTGGGGTCGATAGGTCCGATCAAAACATCGGTCTTTATCGTACATCTGTTCGTGGTAAGAAATGGTATTTTTCATTATTTTCTCACTGCCTGGACATGGCCATTCACAATGCATGGCAACTTTACAAAAGTAATGGAGGAGAGTACGATCATCTCTTATTCCGGAGAACTGTCGCCAGGGGTATCTTGGAAACACATAAGAAAAGTGAGAAGCGCGGTCCCTGCCCTACTCCTAGAACTTATAGGGAAACTTCACGTTACGACAAGATTGATCATCTGATAGAGTACAATGACTCTCAGCTTCGATGTTGGCTTTGCAAAAAAAATACAAACTTTACTTGCCAAAAGTGCAAAATTTATTTGCACCCTAAATCATGTTTTGTAACATACCATACTCCTACATAGATACACTAAGTACTTAGTTTTTTTTTATGAAATAAAAATGAAATGAAATGAAATTAAATAAAACCGAAATGAAATTAACCTTTTTCAGTGAAAAAATGTATATTTTTTATTTAAATAGGATACGACCGGCTAACTTGCACTTGTATGAGCGGTTACCTACCCGCTTATTACTACTGATCGTTATAACGATCCGCATTTTCCGAGCTTTCCGGAAAACCCAGATTTTTTTTACAATATTTCCTGGGTTACTATATGCATTATGGTATTAATATCAAAAAATCACGTTGATACGATACAAAAAATAGTTTCAGTAACAACCGGGTTAA